ACGCTCACACCGCCAAACAGATCATCATAACTCATGTCAGGGATATTTATATGGGCAAGCGTAATTTTCATTTCTTGCTCACCAGCTTGGTGATGGACGATTATTTAAATGAAAAAGTGAGCGAGTTTGGTGCCGTTAATATTACAGGGTTTCGCATTTTAAAGCCCTCGACACATGAGTTTAGGCAGTTTTTTAATCATTGGCGTAAAACTGATTCAACCGGTGTTAATGGCGATGGAAGTGGTGGGAAAGCGATTGTGTCGGTAGGTTATAATTATTAATAATGTTATTGTGTGCTATTATATTGGTCATTCAATCAAGTTTTAATGTATGATAGTTTTATAATTGTATATGTTGGTTAATTTAGTTTATTATACAAAATAAGCACATGTCTGTTTCAGGATAACAACTCAAACAAGGTTACGATACAAACTGTTAAGATAAATAAATCGTGGTTTTATTTACAAAGATAAATATTTAATAATTAATATATTGGACTACACTCCAACTACTCAATTAGTCACAATTATTTATTGGACAATATTTTAATTTTTAAAATTTAAAAAATAGAACAATTATAATTTAAAATGAAACAATACCATGCAATAAATATTTTATATTAATTAATAAATGTAAACATATAGGCTGACGCTGCCATGATGTACGATGGTGCCAAGGTACTTTTGGACACTTACCAACGTCTATTGGCCCGTCATGGTGATGCATTTAGATCGGCATCTCGTCGTGGTGAAATTTACAGTTCAGGTTCAAAAGGCATAGACTGCAGGTCAGAGCCAATTGCACAATGGGAGCATGGTGATAAAATTAAGAAATTTATGCGCAAGGTAGTATAGTTATTTTAATAAATTGTACATGTAAAGTGTCAAATTATATAAATTAAGCATTTTTATTATTATTATTATAGACTAACATAAATGGCCTAACCGGAGTACTATCGTTCGATGATCATGGTTATCGGCAAAATTTTTCAGTCGACGTGGTAGAAATGACAATTAATAGCGAGATGGCCAAGGTGATTAAATAAGAAATTTTAAATTGAATATAATTAATTAATTAATGTTGTACAATGTTGTCTGTTCCAATCCATTTATTTAACCAAATGTTGTAATTGTCTAATTATTATATTATTTAAATTATAAATTGCAGCTCCTAAATTTAGTTTACGAATTAAACACAAATAATTATATAATAATTACACAAATTAGCACATTTAAACTTTTATAAGCATTCTATCAACAATTATATTTATAAAATATAGCAATGACAAATATTTAATATAATGCAATATTGAAAATGTAAAGTTACATAATTGGAAAAAACTAAATCTAATAAATATAGTAATATTTTTTTAAAAACCTTATTTTAAACTCCATGAAATTTAATAATGATGAGTGTTGTGTTGGTATCCCAATATGAACCAACAAATGAAATAGTTAGCTAATATTAATGATTAATTACGTATAAGTTACAGTTTTATTATTAAATTATGAGAATTTAATTACTTGTTAAATCTGATCTTATTTTAAAAATTCAAACAAACTTGATATATTTAAGGCATTACAAATATAAATTAAAATATTATTATTAATAAAATTTTCTTATTGTGAATAATAAATAGTGAATAATTTTGTAATTACTATTATTATATTGTAATATATTATGTTTTCTATTTCCAATAAATAGATCGCTCAGTGGACACAAGAAAAGGGGTTGACTATAGTGCCCGCTAAATATCACCGAGTTCTACAAGAAAGGACCAAGTTTGATAACAAGACATATATCGTGACATCTATACTGGTACATATTTAATTCTCTCTCTCTCTCTCTCTCTCTCTCTCTCTTCTCTCTCCCTCTCTCATTATAATAATGATAATTTATAGGAGGAGCCGTATCTGATGTATAAGGCAAAAGAGAAAGGTGTAGTGAATGAGGGCAATAATCTCTTTGAGGGCTACAGCAAAGATCTGGCTGATCTAATATCTAATAACCTGCAAATTAATTACGAACTCCGATTAGTTAAGGACAGTAAGTACGGGGCACTCGATGCCAATTCCCATCAAGGTTGGAATGGTATGGTCGGCGAATTAATCAGACACGTGAGTGTGATTTTGTTACACATGTGGTTGATTAAAAAATTGCATTAATTCAAGCTTTTGTAGTTAAACAGAATTTGATTTTTAAATTGAATATTTGATTGTAAATTTTAAATATACATTATATATCTGGGCGTCTCTCACTTTGTTCATAATAAGACGTAATTAATGTCTCACGTTGATTAGATAAATCTAATTTTCATAAAATATTTTAAAATTATTTTTTACCATATATGATTAAGTATAAATTGATTGTTTGATTAGAAGTTTATCTAATATAATTTTTAGAGTTAATTTATTAATTATTTTATCCAAATTAAAATTAAAAATTATCATAGTTATGAGAATGTAATAAGTATTATAATTAATAAATAATTCTATTTCTATTTATGTATTATAGTTACTTGTATCATAAGAGTATATTTATTTGTAAACTGTAAACATAAAATTAAGAGAAAAACCATAATATTTAAAAATTATCAATATTTAAACAATCGGTAATAATGGTAGTAAACTAAATAAAAACATATATGTATAAATAATTTTTACCACTTTCATCATAACCTATCTAGGAAGCGGACATGGCAATCGCACCATTAACAATTACATCAGCCCGGGAACGGGTAATTGACTTTACCAAGCCATTTATGTCACTGGGCATATCGATTATGATCAAAAAGCCAGTGAAAAAGAACCCGGGCATTTTCTCGTTCATGAACCCACTTTCAAGTGAGATCTGGATGTGTGTCATACTGTCATACGTTGGCGTATCGGTGGTGCTATTCCTGGTCTCCCGGTTCTCGCCCCGGGAGTGGCGCTATGAGGACACACTACTGGGCCCACACGTGTCCAACGATTTCTCGTTTTACAATTCGCTGTGGTTTTCATTGGGCGCCATAATGTCTCAGGGATGCGATGTTTGTCCTAGGTAGATTGTTAAAAAAATTAATTTTATGCTACCTTTATGCATTAAATCACAAACAATAATATTTTTATGCCATAAAATTTTTATGTATTTTGTATCTAGATCTGTTCCAGGCCGAATCGTGGGCAGTGTATGGTGGTTTTTTACATTGATTTTGCTGTCATCGTACACGGCTAATTTAGCCGCGTTTTTAACGGTAAGAAATATATGATAACACTGTAAATGATGCCACAGTTTATGTATGTTCATGTTAAATGTTAAATGGCTCATGTTAAATGATTTTGAAAAATTAAAAAATAAATTAGTCTGTTTTAATAACTAACTAACTCTAATAGGAAATTTAATTATTTCTTAAAAACTGCAATTTAAAGGTATTAAATATTAGTTATTATGCTTTAAAAATCATATAATAAAATTTTGGTCCAAACAGTTTCGGGAAGTTTATAGGAAACTTTAAATAATATTCATTCCAATCATATTTAATAATTTTGGCAAAACTTTTGCAACTAAACTTTACATGAAACTAATATATCAATTTAAAATAATTTTATCATTTTTACAAACTGCAATTTAATTGTACTAGATATTAATTAACATGAATTCAAAGTCATATAATAAACTTTTGGTTGTTTGTAATGGGAAGCTTATATTTTATATAAATGTTAAATAGAGTTTATTCATTATCTAAAACTGTAAACTAATCGTAAAATAACTAGAATTAAAATTTTATCTTATTGTAATTAAATAATTTGGGTTCATAATATGGAGTGTATCAATAATTTTAAATATTTTGCTTATGTATTAACACCATATAATCTACAGGTGGAGCGAATGGTAACTCCCATTAATTCTGCCGACGATTTAGCCAAACAGACTGAAGTAGAGTACGGTGTGCTCAGACACGGCTCGTCTATGGACTTTTTCAGGGTAATAGAATTTGTACATGGAGTTTTACATAGTAATAAAATAAAATCATTAAATAAAATTACGCAACAAACTACTTGGTAAATTTTAATCACTTAACTGTCATTTAAATTGTACAGAGATCAAAGATCGCGGTTCATCAGCGTATGTGGGAATTCATGCACTCAAAGCAAAACGTTTTCGTCGACTCCAGCCGTGAAGGCATACGTCGTGTGCGGGACTCGAAGGGAAAGTACGCGTACCTCATAGAGAGCACACAAAATGATTACGTGAATGAAAGGTGATTGTTATATTAATTGACCATCGTAGAAATCACTAAAATTATGTGCTTTTATATCGTGATTTAGGATGCCATGTGATACAATGAAGGTGGGCCGCAATCTAGGTAAATAATATACATAAATAAATAAACACTTACTATTAATATTTAACTGTTATAATAACTAATAATAAATTAATATTTAATAATTATAGATGCGAAGGGTTATGGTGTGGCCACACCTTTAGGCTCATCTATTAGGTAAGTGTAGTATATTTATAATGAAAATTATTAACTAATATGTAAATTTAACTAATTTATAATGATTTATTATGGTTTGGTAGGGATTCATTGAACCTAGCGGTGTTGTTTCTTAAAGAGAATGGTGATTTGACAAAATTAGAGAATAAATGGTGGTACGATCGGAGCGAGTGTAAAATCAAAGAGAAAAAGGTATCATGATACAAATAATATTTTAAATAATCTAATAAACAAGAGAAATGAACCAAAATTATTAGAATAAAATAGTTTGTATATGTTAAAAATATATTAATTGTTTTGTGACTGTTTGTATAGGATGCTAATCAGAGCGAGCTAACACTAGACAATGTGGCAGGGTGCTTTTATATATTAATTGGTGGACTCATTTTGGCTATGATTGTAGCACTCATGGAATTTTTGCTCAAATCACAAATGGAGTCCAAACGCAATAATGTAAATTTAACACAAAAAAACTTTGATAAGTTAGTTTTTAATTGTTAACATTTAGATAAGTCTGCTTGATGCTATCAGAAACAATGTACATACATCAATTACGGGTGGCGCAACATTTGCCCAGCGGGTAATTTTATAACAAGTTCCTAACTTGTTAGTTAAATTGTTTTATTATTAATAATTTTTCTATTTTAATTCAGCTGGCTAGCGACTCGTTTACCACCACGTCCACGTAAATTAATTTGTTTTTTGATTTTTAAACATAAATCTCACCTGCTACATACATACGTACCGGATTGTTTACCCGGCACATTCACTCCCAATTGTATAGGAAACGTTGGTAGATTCATCATGGTCACTATCAAAATTGTTCAATGTGCTTGGTGTAAATTTGGCTTATCATTATCATTTACAAATAATGTTTATAATTTATTTTGATCAAGTATTGTTGTTTTATGTTGGTAAAAATGCTCATTGTTAACTTGAATAATATTTGTAAGTTATGTATTTCTACATTGTTTAATAATTACATTGTGTTTGCACTAACATATTATTTTGCATGTTAAAAACACACAATTATGAATGTATAAGAATTGTATTAAATTAAACATATCAATAAATAAATATTTACATTTCTTATTGAAAACTGTAAATAAATAATAAAATATCAACATTTATTATTACAACTTGATAATTATTTAATATTTTGGAATTGTGTTTAGCCTTATTACTAAAGCAGAGATTTTTCGAGACTAAAAACCACCAAATTCGGTAGGGAACCGAGAGTAAAACAGTCGAATTCGGGAATATTCGGGAATTAACGTTTATTTAGTTCAAACACAATAATTATAGATTTAAATCACTTTAAAATGAATTATAGTAGGTAGAATGACATAGAAATTGAAATTTTACTCTTGAAGTCTGTCTTTTATTTGTAAGATTATTCTTAAATTGAAAGAAAATTCGTTCAACATGGTCAAACTCATTTGGTGTATATTTTGTTAGACATCTTATCTCAAAATTTTTTGGATTTTTATAGTAATATTTTTAGTTTTTCTTGAAAAAGATTGTGTTTTAGCCTATTTAAAATAAAATTTTGCGATTTCCCCCCTAAAATATGTCAAAATCGGGAGTATTTGGGAAAATAAAAACGGTATATTTTTACTTCATTATAACCTCCAAAACCAACTGGATGTTATTCCCGAACATTCTATTAAATAATTATATTCGAGAATTCCCGAATTATCTCTGCTTTACTTATTACTTACAAATAATATTAGTAATTTTAGTTCGTTTTATTAGTGTTATAAAGAATATTCCTTTATATCACATTTGTTTAATGTGTAAAAATGTTGTTTTACCCTATGTTATAAAAATGGTAATATTTTAATGCCGCAATTTATTAACAAGTATCTGTAAATTATGAAATAATTTAATTGTATTAGTTTGAAATGTTAATGTAATTACATTTTAAAATATTTAATTTATATTTATTAGTTTCAATTTGTGAATTTAAATATTTTTATTAAAAGTTACAAAATTCAAAGATTTTTCTAAGCCAAAACAATTAAATAGACAAATGCACATGAGCAAATATAAAACTTGGTAAATTACTTACAGTCTTTAAACTACACTATTATTAGCAAATTAAATTAAATGACATTGAATTTAATTTTAAAAATCTGTGGATTAATTAAATATTTTATTTATATTATTTCAAATGTTAATTACATTTTGAAAATTATATTTATGAAAGTTTAAGGTTAATAATTAAAATATTTTTATCAAACGTTACAAAAATTAATATTCAACTGTTTATAGTCAAAGTGTTTTGATAACCGATATAAATATATAAACAATGCATATAAGGAATAAAACACTTGGTAAATAAGTAATTACAGCTTCTAAATTCTCTATAATTAGCATAATAATTAAACACTGGTTATAAAGATAAATATTATATAATAGACTATTTTAAAATATATTTAATATTTTTATATTGTAAACTGTAGATTAGTTATAAAATTGTTATATTTATTTGTACAATAAAATTGTATAAAAACATTGGAGCGTTTGGAAGTAAGACATTGTACAATTTATGTTTCACACTAAAACCTTCCTTTATATCTAATTCGTATAATGTAAAAAATGTGATTTTTCCCTATGTTATAAAAATGGTAATATTGTAATTGCACACTTTATTGGCAAATTTTTGTTAATTATGGCCTAATTTAATTGTATTTATTTGAAAAGTTAATGTAATTACATTTTAAAATACTTAATTAATATTTATTAGAGTTTAAATTTGCGAATTTATTAGAGTTTAAATTTGCGAATTTAAATATTTTTATTAAAAGTTACAAATTCAAAAACTTTTGCCGGATAAATGTTAGCCGAAACTATTAAATGGACAAATGGCATATGAGCAAATATAAAACTTGGTAAATTATTTACAGTTTTTAAACTCCACTATCATATAAATTAAACATTGATTATAAAAATTATTGCAAATTAATGTTAAATATTAGATAGAATAATTTTAAAATATTATAAATATTTTTACATTTTAAACTGTAAATAATTTATAAAATAGATATATTTATCATTATAATTAAATTACATAAAAGAAATTGGATCATACAGCCACAAAGAAAATATTTTTGACATTATTAAAAAGTTGAATACAATTCGCCAACATTACCAAAGCTAAGTACGAATATGTTCATGATTTAATATTTAATTATATTTATTTGAAATGCTAAAATAATTACATTCTTAAAATTATATTTATGAAAGTTTAATGGTGATAATTTACATATTTTTATTAAACGTTATAAATATACATTAATTCTTGTATCCCAATATAATTAAATAGATATTTGTATATAAGCAAATATAAAACCTGATAAATAAATATTTACAGTCTATAAACTTTTTTATTATTAGCAAAATAATTAAACACCGGTTATTAATATTATGAAAATCAATATTATATAATAAATAAAACTGTTTAAAAACATATTATAAATATTATAATATTTTATATTATAAACTGTATATTGCTAATAAAATTGTTATACTTATCAGTACAGTAAAATTGTGAAAAGACATTGAATCGATTAAACAATTATTACCTTGTAAAAAATATTTTTGACATTATTAAAAACTCAAATATTTTACCCAATTAATTATTTTAAACATTATAAATAATAATTTAGATTTTTAAAATAATTAATCTATAAAGAATATGGTTTAGATGTTTATATGATTTACAAATAATTAAAGGTTTTAAATATTGTATTGCTAACAAATAGTAATTTATAAAATTTATTAATAAATAAATACTGCCAATTTTATAAAACATAAGTTAGTTAATTTTACTAATAAAACTACTAACCTTTTATTTAATAATAAATATTAACATTTATATTAAAACTGTAAATACATAATAAATTATTTTTATTAATTACAACATATTGTCAATACTAAAATAAAAGAAATTAATAGTTTAGTAATGGTAACGTTTAATTAATCAATATTTTTATTTGATGTATAAATAAATTTGTTTTCTCTTGTTAAAACTAAATTTATAAAAAAATATTATTAAATATTTAGAATTAAAAACGACTAAATTTAATTAACTTGTATAAATATTATTGTTATATAAAATAGATTGTTAAATAGATAAAAAAGTTAAATTAAAATTAAATTTAAAAAATTGAAATAGATGACACGTGCAGATGCCAAATATTAAGTATACAATCAAAGTTAAAATTGTACAAGATATTATTTAATATTTTGGAAATTAATGGTAAAGTCTATATTCGCATTTTTCTTTCTCCCCCTCTCCTAAAGTAGTCTAGTTTGTTAAATATGACCACTACTGCACTCGTATCTTACCCTAAGTGATTGATATATTTCTGTATATGTGTGCGTAGGCCTAGTCCTGGCCATTGAGGCATAAATGGCATTTAAACTATACATATTATTATACATAATAAACACAATTATTATGAAGTTAGCTTTATTAGTGTTATTAGTGTTGTAAATAATATTCCCTGATATTTAATTTGTATAAGGTATAAAAATGTTGTTTTAACCTATGTTATAAAAATAATAATATTTAAATCGCATAATTTATTAGCAAATCTCTATAAATTATGGAATCATTTAATTGTATTTATTTGAAAGTTAATGTAATTAAAATATTTAAATTGTATTTATTAGTTTTAATTTGTGAATTTAAATATTTCTATTAAAAGTTACAACGTTGACAAACTTCTGGAGACCGAAACAAATAAATAGGCAAATGCATATTAACAAATATCAAACTTGGTAAATTTCTTACAGTCTTTAAACTTCTCTATCATTATCAAAATAATTAAACATAGATTATAAAGATTATTGCAATTTAATATAAAATATTAGATAAGACTATTTAAAATTATTATAAATATCTTTATATGTCAAACTGTAAATAATTTCTAAAATGTTTATATTTCTAGTTTTAATAAAATTATATAAAAGACATTGGATCATTCTACCAAAAAGATTATTTTTGGCATTACTAGAAATTTGAATATTATTGGTCAACAATACCAAAGCCAACGAATATTTGCGAGACATCGTTTTTAATTTTATGAATTTGTGCATGGTTAAATATTGTAATTAAATTTATTTCAAATGTTAAAGTAATTACTTTTTAAAAATTATATTTCTGAAAATTTAAAATTTATAAGAAATATTTTTATTAAACGTTACAAAAATCAAGACTTTTCGTATACCGATATAATTAAGTAGACAAATGAATATAAGCGCATATAAAAATTAGTAAATTATTACTTACAGCATTCTATCAGTATCATAATGATTTAACAACGGTTATAATGCTTATGAAAATAACAATTAAGACGTTTAAATGATTATAAATATTTTTACATTGTAAATTGTATGTTAATTATAAAATTGTTATATTTATTAGTAGAATAAAATTGATACAACTTTTGGTATAAATATTGGAATATATTTTATTTAAATTCAAATTGTAATCCAATATTTAAATGCAAATAAGTTTTTGACATTATTTGACATTAAATATTTTAGTTATGTAATAATCTATTATTTAAATATTAAATCATAATTTAGGTTTTTAGCAAAATCAATATAATGAAAAGGGCGTTGAGATGTTTACATTTTTAAAAATTTTGATAGATTAATATTAATAACCTGACCGGGGTACAATCGTTTGATAATCAAGGTTATCGGCAAAATATTTCTGTAAATTATGGAATAGTTTAATTTTATTAATTTAAAAGGTTAATGTAATTACAAATTAAATTTGTAAATTTAAATATTTTTATCAAAAGTTACAAAATTCAAATAT